AAAAAAAAAAAAAAAATTGGATTAAACAAAAAATAAGAAGATAAACTATAAGAGATTCTCATAATTCCAATCTTCTTATTATGTACATTTAAAAGAAAAAAGAGTATAACCCAAATTAATATTGTAATTCTCAAACCTCAACAATCGAAAACGTAGATTTATGAAAAAATATCTCTCAATGTATTGTTGGATTAAAAAATCTTAACAAATTTATAATTGTTAAACATCCGAAATGGATAGTTTTAACGTATCAAATTAAACAAAAAATAAGGACATAAAAAATTTTTGGAATCTCAAATTCCTAATTTTACAATTTTTTTAAATAAGATATTTAAGATATAAATACATAATATTAATGAATAACTTTTATCACCAACAAATTGAAAAAAAAAAGTCTAATGATATTCTTGGGATGTGATCTGATTTTCCCCAAAAAAAAAAGAAAAAAAAAATCAAATCAAGTGATAATTTTATATCCATGTAAATCCACATTTTAAAAATTACCAAGACAAGCTTATACTAGTACGCACGGGTAAGAGATATTTATTAATATTTATAAACAAAAAATATTTATTATATAATATTAATAAATTACAAATATGAATTCAATTTGTACTACGCACCCCCTCTCTATATTAATTTATTTCAAATATTATATGAATGATAATTTGTGCGAAATTACATAAAACATGTCTATTTAAATTAGTACCCAACTCGTACGTTGCACATAGCTGGTAATAAATTATATTATATTAATTTCAAAATAAGTGTCAATTGAATTTTTTTTTTCTTGGATACGAAATTAAATTTAAGATGTCTGAATCTTGTAATTGAATGACTTGGTAACTGAAACGAATGTAAAATTAAGGTAATATAAATAATCATGTACAAATTTGATTACGAAATAGGCAAATACAGAACATAAAATTGTATTTCATCTATCTTAATCATATATATAGAAATAAAATTATAATTTATATTAACCATGACCTGAAATTGCATGTTTTTATTATTTTAGAATATTTTTGTAGTTCACTTTAAATTGCATTTATGTTTTTTGTAGTTCAATTTAAATTGCAGTTATATTTGTAGTTACACAATATCTCATTGGAATTTTGACTTCCACTCTAATCATTGATACCGAAAAACATCAGTCTTATTATTCTTTATTTTTCTCATACCAAATATATTGAATCCAAAGCTTACAAAAAATAAAATAAAATAAAATAAGATGGAGTCACGCATTCATTATAAAATAATAGCTCATATTATTGTTAGATCTTTTATTCCAAAAAAATCGAGACTCTCTTTATCATGCTAAAAATATTGAATTTCACACAAAAAGAAATTATTTGAAATGTCGTGGAAAAAAAATGAATTAAATCGAAACCCACTTATTATACAAATCAAAAAATGACCATATCTTTTCTATGAAAAAAAACATTTAGACATGCACATTATACTAAAATATTCGTTCATATTATTTTGTAAGAGTTACAGTAATTTCATTATGGCTTTCATACAAAAAAATGAAATAACCAATAAATAATATATTGGCATGTGCATTTCAAACAAAAAGTATATCATATATTGATTAATTTTCTACAAAAAAAATCCATCAAGGTACTCAAATATATTTGCTCACTTTATACCATATATTTATTGATTTTTTTCTCACATAAATGACCATCGGATACCAAAAATTAATTTTCTCACTTTATACCATATATTGATTGATTTATTTCTAAATATAATAAATAAGATTTTTTTTGGGTAAACTGTTACAATTTTAAAAATAATCAAATCTTTATGTATATATATATATATATATATATATATATATATATATATAT